CTTTTTAATCCTCTTTGACAAAACATATATTCATATAAATTCTACATTTCATATTTACAATTAATTGTCTCCTACGTGGCGCGACACTTTGCGAAAAGTTGGAATGTCAAGTGTCATTGTCTTGTGACCTGGCTAAAAGTTAAGCTAGTTATATGATGATAAATTTAAGATAAGAATTACTTCCTTTATTTGTTTTAGTTGACACCATTCTATTATCACGCTTGCCAACACTTGTTTTTTACGATTAACTAGTGACTGACCCCGGACATTGCCCCAGGTTGCTACTATTGTAGACGTATTGTCAATAATTTTTTTAAAAGGCTTTTCAAAATTCAATTGTCATTTTCAAACCAAAATTGAGTTATTCTTTGAAAATAGTTTTTTTTTTCATTTTTTTTAATTAAACCTTGTGGTTTGCACTTATATTATTTTTTTCTATAATACCATAGTTGATATTGGCTTAGATGGTTAAATAGTTATACACTACTAGAAAAAGGCCCATTATCGACAAAACCGTTCCGACGGATACGAAAATCCGTCGGAAAATATACCATTTACGACGGAATCCGTCGGAAATTTCCGACCGAAATTAATTCCGTCTGAAATTTACGACGGATTTTACAGCCTTTTCGACGGAATTTAGTAAAATAATAATAAAAAACAAAACAAAAACAAACCCTAATTAAAACAACAGTCCTCCCCTACCCCATTTCATTTCACATTTCTCTCTCTCTCCTCCACCTCTCTTCCTCTCATCTTCTCTTTCTCTCTCCTCGATCTTCTCCTCCCTTTTCTTCTGACTCTCTTTCCTTCCTCTCCTCCTCCTCTTCTCATCAACACATTCTCATCTTCTCTTTCTATCTCCTCTCCTCCTCCCTCTTCTCACGGTCTTTAATTAATGGTGATGGGTTTAAAACAAATTAATGGTTTTTAAGGTTCAATTCGACCATGAAAATGCTAGATCTAGCGTTTTTCATGGTCGAATTTGGCCTTATTAAACCAAGTTCGCCGTAGAAAACTTACTTTAAAACTTAGCGGACATATCGTCCCACCCCGTTATGGAACCCACCTTTACTCCCTTGGAGATCCACGCTTGCGCGACCCTTTTGAGAGTGGTAGGAAAGTATTTACACCAGGTCGCTTCGGACCTGGGGCACAGATGCATATGCCCCTCGTAGGAGGCAATGTGGTCCTTCGGATCCGAAGTCCCATCATAAGTAATGTGCGACGGGATTTTAACCGTCGGCACATGCTCCTCCAGAATCCATTGCTCGAATGGAGAACAGGTGGGAAGCATCACGCCTTGCCCTTGCTCCTGGCCGAAGGAACCGCTCTCCGCCCTCTCAGAGAGGTAGAAGTGGTTTTCATTCCCTGGTCAGAAGGTCGGGCCTCGGCTTCGGGGAAGGAGAGGCGACTATGCACGCTCTACTCCCTGCGGCCGAGACGCTCGTGAACGCTTCGGCGAATAGTATCCGGCCGAGAGGCTGAACTACTGCTTTTGTGAGTTTTGCTCGAAGTGAGTTGAGCAGAAGGTTCCATGAAGAAATGCGAGTTTCTTTGTCTTTCTCGCTCGGTTCTCTAAGTATCCTCCTCCCAATTTTCCTCCAACTCCTTGAAGGATTGGGGTCTCTCCCCCTCTTGCCCAGTCCTCCTCCGCTGATGCCTGGTTTGCGGAGGTGATCGGTCAAGGGGTGGTGGCATCATTCCAGCCTTCATGGCCTCTATGAAAACTGCCACAGCTCGCGCAATTTCCTCGGTGGAGGGTGCCGTTTGAGGGGTCACTCTATGAGTTTGGGGGCGAGAATGGATGCTCAAAGGCGGGCTTTGAGTGTTGGAACGAGCCCTTGGGTTGGATTGAGCTGCAGCGTTGGACCGAGGAGGACTCGTCCAACGCTGCGAACGGAAGACCCTTTTCTTCTGACTCCCTTTCCTTCCTTTCCTCCTCCTCTTCTCATCAACGCATTCTCATCTTCTCTTTCTATCTCCTCTCCTCCTCCCTCTTCTCGCGGTCTTTAATTAATGGTGATGGGTTTAAAACAAATTAATGGTCTTTAAGGTTGAATTCGACCATGAAAATGCTAGATCTAGCGTTTTCATGGTCGAATTTGGCCTTATTAAACCAAGTTTGAGGGAATTTCAAAGCTTTTTGATTTTTAAGGTACGTTTTAATGTTTTTATTTTGTTTTTGATTTTTTATTTAATTTTTATATGGTTTTAGGTTGGTGTGTTTGATTGTCGGTTCGGTGGTGGTGGTGGTCTTACGTGTTGAGGGTTTTAGGTGGGTGGATTGGAGTGTGGGTTCGGTCGGGTTAGGTGTTTAGGTGGGTAGATATGGGTTAAATGGGTATGGGTTTGGGTTCGGTGGTGGTTGTCTTCTATGTTGAGGGTCATTAGGTGGGTGGCCTGGGTTTGAGTGTGGGGGTGGTTCTGGGTTTGGAGAGGGTTCGATCAGGATGTGGGGAGGGTTTCAGTCAGGGTTTGGGGGTGGTTTTGAGTTTGGGGAAGGTTCGGTCAAGGTGTGGGGAGGGTTTCGGTCAGGGTTTGGGGGTGGTTCTGGGTTTGGGGAGGGTTTCGGTCAGGGTTTGGGGAGTGTTTTGGTCAGGGTATGGGTAACGTGGTGGTGGTCTGATGTGATAGTTGTGGTGGTTAGGAATAGTTGAGGTGGTGATACGCCGCACCGGTGGTGGTGCGGAGTGTTTTTTTTAAAAAGACATTTTCGACGGAAATTCCGTAGGAAATTTTCGAGGGACTTTGAATCCGTCGGAAATTTCCGACGGATTTTACCGGTGTCGGAAATTGTGGTAACGACAAAAATTCCGTCGGAAAAGTGTTTCTGACGGAATTTTCGTCGGAAAAGGTGGTTTTTCATACCAAGGCGTTTTTGACAACCATTACGGAATTCCGTCGAAAACACATTTTCCGACCGATTTCAAGGTGTTTCCGACGGAATTTTCCGTCGGAAATGAGCTTTTTTCTAATAGTGATATGTGTTATAGGAGTTTGAGGGTTCGAACCTCCTTATCCTTATTTTTTTTATATGGAGTAATGTTAGTCGCTTAGGTGATGTGGCATTGTTGTGTGATGGTGTGGCATCATGAGATGTTGGGAAGATGACGTGGCACTACAAAATAGGGACTATGTGGCACATCAACGTTTTTTGGAACGCCTTTTAATAGATTAGTATAGATATCTCTAATTATCAACATTGTAAAATTATAAAAAGTGGATATTAATAAAATATACATTGAAACGATTCAAACAAGTTCCCACATGAATATGTTTTATCGTATCTATAAACCATAAAAGCGAGTCAAAGCGTGTTATGTGAATAGTGTAAAATTTCAACGGTGTCAACTAAAAAAAATGGAGGAAGTATACCAAATATAAATCTCAAACGACATCTTTATCCTAATAAATATATCCAAATTTCGCTAATTGCACAAATATTCTATCCTTTAATATAGATGTCGTCAAATAGGTGCTGGGTTAAGTTTAGATCGGGTTAAATTCAGATTCGAATTATTAAGTTCAGGTCGGTTATAAATCGGATTCGGGTCCTGAATTATTCACATGAAATCAGATCGATTACAGTTTGAAACGGGTGATATTTTTCGGATCTGATTGGTTATGACACATCTAAATGTACCGCATTTATTCATGAACTACTTGTATCATCCTAAGTGTGCTCTAAACCCTCTAATGTTGAATCAACAATTCAATTCTTTGGGTGTCATACTCCTCTATTTCTTTTATTTGTTACATTTGACTTTAACGATCTTCAATTTACATACTACCTCCGTTAATTGTTTTGTGCAACTTTCAAGTGATTCATGGTTGTCAATGCAAAAAATGAAGGGCATTGATTAGAGGATAGTAATATGCAATTAAGTAAAAGTAGAGGAGAGGGACCCCTCTCTTTTTTTGGTGGGGAAATCTGATTCCTTTGGTAGGAATTTGATTCCTTCCCTTTTTTTAAGAAAAAAGGCATGCATTCAATATTTCACAACCATTTAACCTGCCACATTCATCATTTATGAGGCTTATAAAAAGAAGCACCCATTGTCAAACAACTTTGAAAGTTCAAATCATTAATTACAAAAACCCATTGTTTCACCAAATTCATCAATTGTTTAGCCCAAAAGTTAGCACCTAATTCCAATAATTAGCCCATAATTACCCAAAAATTACACCCTAGACTAAATTAGTTCTGCACAAGGTCTTCCCCCTTCTTCAAGACTGCATTGGGTTGTTTTATATGTACACAAAAGTGTAGGGAAGCTTCATCTTCTCAAAAACTTTCATCTGCCACCCCTACAACATATCAACAACCTGAAAAAAGAAGGGACCCCATGGTAGATTTCGAAGAATCTCAGTACTATGATATTGATGAAATACTGACAGAGGAACAGATGTCAGAATTATACTATGAAGAGGAAAAACAAATTCAAGACCAAGACACAGAGTACTATGACTCTGATTAGGAAAACATGCAGCAAGAAGAAGGGGATGAAGAAGGGACTCCAGAAACTAATGGGGTTGTTGATGAAGAAAGCATCCAACATCACACAGAAAATGCAACAACAACAATTAACAGAAAACAACTTACCATGTTTTAGAGAAGAGAGATTGTTAATGCAATGTTGATGAAGATGCAAGATGGTGAGTTGCCAAGAGGATACAAAATGCAAATTTCAACACAATTCAGAGTTCACAAATCAACAATGACAAGAATCTTCACAGACATAAAAAAACAGATGGCACAAAGGAATATGATTGATGTCAGGTCTAATAAGTTTAGCAAGACAGGTCCAAAGCCAAGGGAATTTTCAGATGAATTCCTACAGTCAGCCCCTCTTTATTTAAGGTAGACAGAAAGGTCTTATGCAACATCACTTAAAATTTCTCATGTCACTCTGCATTATTTGAAGAAAAAGGGAAGGCTAAGAACACACACAACAAGTTGCAAACCAGCACTGACATCAGATCACAAGATAGCTAGAATGAAGTGGGTTCTCAATCATATAAACCCAGTTGAAGTAAATCAGGACCCCACTTTTGAAGATACGAGTCATGTCATTCACATAGATGAGAAATGGTTCTACTTGAACCATGACAAAAGGAGATTTTATCTCCTTCCAAGTGAAGAAGATCCATACATGGCACATCAGTCAAGAAGATTTAAGTTAAAGGCTATGTTCATGGCAATTATTGGAAAGACATTATATGGAAACAATGGGGAACTACTACATGAAGGAAAGTATAGTATTTTCCCATTCACACTCAAAGAAAAAGTAAAGAAGTCAAGCAAGAACAGAGCATCAGGGACAATGGTGACAAAGGCACTCCAGAATGTCAACAGAGAGGTTATTAGAGATATGTTGCTCAACAAAGTCATACCAGTAATTATGGATAAATGGCCTGAAATTCTGCCTAACAATATTGTCATCCAATGGGACAATGCAAGGCCACATCAAATACCAACAGATGAAGAGTTTAGTGCAGCAACATCAGCCAATGGGTTTAACATTCAATTTGTGTTTCAACCAGCTCAATCTCCTTATTTAAATGTGTTGGATTTAGGTTTATTCAGGTCTATCCAGTCCCTACAATATCAATCTTTTCCAAAAAATCTTGATGAGCTAGTTAAGAAAGTGATTGAATCTTACAACACATTCAAACCAGAAGTGAAAAATTACATATGGGTGACTATACAAAGATGTATGATCAAAATACTCAAGGCACAAGGTGGGAATAAGTACAAAATTCCACATATGAACAAGAAAAAACTTGAAAATCTAGGCATTCTTCCAGATCAAGTGCATATTCAGAAGGACATAGTGCTAAAGGCTGTAGAGTGCTTGAACACAATGTTCAGGCCAGCACCAGAAGGGAATGAAGATGCAGCAGAGGACATGGAGGTGGATGTAGACTAGAGCATAATACAAAGCAAATCAGAAGAGGAAAATATACTGCCACACATAACCACTTAAAGTCTTTATTTTTCTTTTTCTTTTTTTAATCTTTTGTAATGTTAATGAATAGGTGGTTAGGTGTATTTTTTGTTTTAGGATGTGATAAACCACTAAGGCAGTGATGTGTAAGTTCTAGTGCTCATGTAATAGGCTTTTTGTAGCCACATTTTGACTGGAATGAAAGTGTTGAAGTAATTATGGTCAATGACAATTAATCCATCAGAGGAATTCTTGTGTGTTAAATACAACAATTCAAACAAGTTTACCTCAACAACAATGAATTTATTGACATTGTTGGAGCAACATACTTGTTCAAATTGCAATTCATTGGAGTCCCTTCATCATATGAGTATCACAATAACATGCTACTCAGATAAAAAAGGGACTTATTAGTGAGTAATACACAGGCAACAATAAGGGACTCATGAAACAACATTAAAGAAATCAAATTGTTCTCTACAAATTTGATCATTGAGAACATTATAGGTAACACACATGCCAACCTGACAACACCAATAATAACATAGCCTCATCATTCATCAGTCAAAGTCCCTTAAAGCCCATAAGTAATTTAAGCAGAATAATACAACCACAACAACAATCCAAACAACTTACCATCAACAAAAGCAAACAAGCAATCATCAGAACACAATAATATAAGCCAGTACCACACAACATAAACCTGCAAGTTGTGCATAATCCATCCAACAACATAGTAAAGCTTAAATGCTCAGCAACAAACAACATAGTCCACCTTCCAACATAATCATATTCCATAATCCAACATAATCATATTCAATAATCCAACATAGTCATATTCCATAATCTAACAACAACAATTTCTCACTCAACAAAACCCACAAATAAAATCATTCAACTTCCAATCTGAAGAATTAAATAGGGACTCATATGATAAACAAGTATTGTAACTCATCAACCAAAAAAACACAGCCAGAACCATTTAATCCAATCAAATAACCAGCACACAACCCCAACATTAGAAGCAATAAATCATAGAATCAAATAAGAGGGACTCAAAAAAATTAATTTACGAAGTTAGGGTTAGGAATCGTTACGAGAGCAGTCACTCAGAGGGTTGAACCCTAGGGCTCATCCACCTCACATAGAAGTGCACAATAGGGATAGAACGAGAGGCAGCATCAGGTTCCTTGGAAAGAGGTTCCTCATCAGGCTCCTCATCAGATGATAGGACGATGAGCTCCTCGTTAGGGAGCCCACACATCCTTCTCATAGCAACATGCGCCGCCTTCCTCGTAGCACGCACCTTGGAGGGTGGCCTTTCCCTCTTAGATCTAGGTTTTTTGGAGCCACAACACTCCCCTCGCCACTCTTAGCAACTAGATCTACAACATCCTCAGTTAAATAATCAAGCGAATTCCTTCGGGACTCACCTTGACCCTTGTCCCTCTTCATTCTTTCTTCCTCCTCAACACTTTTAAGTAATTGACCTAGAGCTCTGTAAGTGTACAAACTACGGTAAAATTGACGAGGGAAAGGAGAACCAATCTCGAAGCAGTGGATGAGATTCTGAATCAGATTCTCCTCTTCTTTGTCGTCGATAGCCATGTAAGCATATTTTAAAGGATCTAAGTTAACCATTGTTGTGAGGGGACTTGATTTTGTGAAAAGATCGAAGAAGAGAAGAGTAGATCTGGAGAGAGAAGGGGAAAATAGCAGAAGAAGAGGAGAGAGAAAACCCTAGAAGATTAACTAGGGTTCATCTGGAGAAAACTCCAAAAGATATTGTTAGTTGAGACGAACACTACAAGAGGGGGGGGGGGGTGAATTGTAGGTGAGTTCCTAGGACTACTTTTTGCAAATATAAAACAGAATAAAATAGGAACTTGCAATGCACACAGGATTTTACGAGGAAACCTTCTAGTGCCCAACTAGAAGTAAAACCTCGACCCTACCTTAGGGATTTCAAACACAAACAATCTTCACTATAATAGGGCAAACACCAAGTTACAACCTATTATACTCAAACCTCTACTCACAAGTTCCTGAATGAACTTGCTACAGAATAGGATTCTATCCTACCCAATCTAAGTCCCACACTTAGATTCCCTCGTACTACCTAAGTACAAATCTTCTCAGCTTCTCACCAGAAGCTCTTTCTCTGTATGCAATGAATATCAAAACACTCTTACCCAAATAACCCCAACCAATTACAAGTATTGACACCTAGTATATGATAGGCAAGCTATGCATGAAACCCGAAACTAATATGACAAGATAATAAGCTTAGCAAACTTACACAATTAAAGCTCTGTAAATTCTTCACACATCAACTCACAAAAACCTAAACTCCTTTTTACCTCTACTATTTATACAAGTATTACTCGTATAGAAAGTAGGTTTTCTTAAAGATAAATAAGTTAAACTTAACTTATCTTTATACACGGTTTTTAAGTAAATCATTCTTGAAGAAAATCTTTTCCGAAAAATAAGATAGAAAGATTGAGTTAAAACGCATAATATCTTTTTAACAAACTGATTTTAAGAAATAAACATTTATAGAAAATATTTTTCGAATTCTATCTTTTATCTTTTTCGATTTTAATATATGTGCCAAGCTAACTTGCCACGCTTCTAATAGATTTCATGCATATCCTACTTAACATATTTAACAATGAATCTAGAAGATAAAATCTTAACTAAGTCATTGCTGCGCTGCGCTTCTGTACTGGTAGGTTTACTTGGGCTCTACGCTTACTAAGTTCCACCAAAGATCTTAGTTAGCCATCTTCACGTTCCTGTGAAGAAACGTTCCTGTTAAGGAACTCAGTTCCGGTAAGGGAACTCTTCTTCTGTTTCGAATAACCTTCTTGAATAAAGAACTCTTCAAGTCTTCTTAGTTCCAGTTACTTCTTCCATCTCCAAGATCAATTTCACCTAAACTAAACAAACACTTGAAAAACCTTTATTAAATGAGTTTGCTGTAGTTTAAGTTCCTCATCATCAAAACCTTTAAACATAAAAAATTTCCCCCTTTTTGATGATGACAAACTTAAGCAAACTCTAGAGAAAGTTAAAACAAAATAGAAGGACGTATTTTTGTATTTTTGGTTTATTAATGGAAAGTAAACACACAACTGAATTAAAAACAGAAACTAAAAGCAAAAATAAACAAAAATAACTAAGAAAATAAACTAATCTATCAACATCATATCAGAAGAAAGTTATGATACTTTCTCAACTGGAACCCAGAACAACTTCAACCTCCATGTTTGCTTCTTCTTTTCCCCCTTTTGGCATTAACAAAAAGTCCTGCTTTTTCAAGTTTATTAAGAATCTACCCACAGCCCCACAAGCAATTCATCGAGTGTGGGAAACTGAAGGCAGCGCTGCTAACTTCCCTTAGGAAAGTTCCACTCTCCTGTTTAAGCATTCATAACATACTAAAGCACATATGTATAGACAGTTCCAAAAGCATTCATTAAAAACAAAAGATTTATCATCCTGCTAGATAAAAAATTATTACAAACCAAAGAAAAAGTTCAAGCATTTTAAAACATAAACTGAAATTGTTCATGACTGCTAAAGGAAGTTAAGGTAGGCTAGTTTTAGGAAGGCTAAGAGGGAAATGGCTAAGTTTGCAAGAGGTCCAGAATCTGTTTGTTGTCTTCTTTTTGTTGTGCAATGAGAGCTTCCAGCCTTTGCTCAAGATTCTGTAGCTTCTGTTGGAACTCTTCCTTCTGTTCCTTCAGACCCTTGTCTTATGCTTGCACCAGTTTCTTCTGTTCTTTTAGTGCCTTGCCCTGCTCCTGCATTAATTTGTCCAGCTTCTGAAACTGAACCTTCCCAACTGATTCCTTGACTTGAATTTCAACCCTCTCCATTCTATCCATTAGTTCAGCCACTTGCCCATCAAGTACTTTCTCATTAGCATCTAGCTCCAATGGTTTCTCCATGCTGGTCTGAGGGAAAGCATTTGTAGATAGCCTCCTGCTCTTTCTCACAGGTTTGTCACTCACTTCCTTCTGCTTTCTCTTTCCAGTAGCCTTTTCAACCTTCTCTTCTTCTTTCTCTAATTTCTGAATTTTTCCTTGAACTACTTCTAAGCTCAGACTAGCCAGAGTATCTGCATTAATCACATTCTCTGGCTTCTCATCCAAGCCCCCATACTTTCCTTTCAACTGCACCCCAAGACTTTCAAAGACAGTAGAAAGAATAACACCATATCCTACTTTTGTTCCACTTGGAACACAATGTGCCAAGTGCTGATACATAAGTGAGGGAAAATTAACTTTAATTTTCCTTGACAGACAGAAAATCACAGCCATGTCCATCAAACATTCTTCACCCTTCTTTGCAGTTCTTGGCAAGATGGTTTTCTTGACAAGATTGAACAATAGCTTATTTAAAGGACTCATATCATTATGACTCATAATGTTCTTCCCCCTTTTTCCTCCAAGGGCTTCAACTATGTCACCACTCAAGTAATTCCCAACCTTGACACTTGACTTACCCTTAATGTAAGTCTCATACCCTTCCATTGGGGTTTTCAGAATTTTGCTAAGGGTCTCCACATCTGATTCAATGTTTATACCACCAACCTTACTAGTAATTATTCCCAATTTTGCTTGAAAATTTTTGACAAAATTCAGTCATAGCAATCGGATACATGAAATTATCAGAAACTTTAACCAACAAGTACTCCCAGCCTTGGAACTTAATCAAATCAACAAATTCTAGAAACCTAGCACTTCTACACCAATCTAAATCAATACGATGACCAACAACATACCTTTCTGCCTGTGATTCAAGCTCATCTTGATCAATTTCTTCTTCGTCCTCCGATTTTTCCTTTTCTGAACCCTCCTCATCCATGTTGCGAGCAAAGTCCTCTACTTCCTCAATGTGATCCTCCAGAGTCTTTTCTTGACCTTTCTTTGCCTTCCATTCCTTCAATTTTTCAAGTACGGACTTGGTGATGT